TGTCATATCTCATAACACTGCACTGTTAACAAGAGAATTTACTGCAGGGGAGACAATACAATGATGTTTTATCATATTGTGACAAATTATGGTACAATATGCTTTTCTGAGCATAATGTGGATATCAGTACTTAAAGAACACTGAATAACTGCCTCTGTCATTACAAAGAGAGCACTCACTCATTATCTAATCTTATTATTGCTCCTGTTTATTTGAATTTAGAATTTTTACAGTGTGTGAAACGCGGATTAACAGTTCATATTTTTGATAGTACTGTGATATTTTTGCCATAGCACCCACCTGTATAATACCCCACTTTGTAAACTGTATCATAGTTGCGTTTTTGCAAGTGTCATAATTTCAAATATGACATGAATCACAGCGGTCACTGTCTAACTCAGTGATGATGCAAAAGAAAATGAGTTTTCATTTGGTTATTACATGGTTATAAAAAATTTACGATCCAAAAACACTTGAAAGCATCCGTTCTTCAAAAACGACTGCATCACACAAAGACTCCATTAGAGCAACTGATCAATCAGAGTTCGACGGTAAGAATTCCCAACACTGCAGTGGCACTCTGAGCATTTGCAATGTCTATTTCTGGTGTCCAGTCATGAGAGTAGGTTGATGGTCACTGTAGAGCAAAGTAATGATTGCTTTTAGGACCATCTGGTCTGTTTTACTCTGATTTATGTATGATTCTTCCAAATAGAAATTCAGATTAAGTCTTAACAGCATTAAGATGTTACTAAAGGGAAATTTCACCAAATTTACAAAATTTCTGCATAAAATGTTAAGATTTAAACAATGTCATTCAGAGTTGTTTGACATGAAATGCTCCATTCTAGACAAATTTACAAAGGTATAATTGTTCACAGTGGTCTTGATAGGAACCAGACGTTTCAAAAAATGACATGAAATGTTTATGAATATGCTGATCCTGATGCTTCATTGATTTATGAGATTTTAGAAGATTTTGGGTGTTGCGAGGCAAAATAGTCCCCAAAGAAAACTTATTTTTCAGATTTACTACTATTTTACCGTATACAAGCTCAGAAGACACGTGTAGGTTCACTGGTGGTTTTGATAGTAAATAAAATGGCTATATTTGTGTTGTAGACATGGTGATGACCTCGGGTTCCTATCACCACTACTGTAAAGAAATCTGAGTCTCTACAATCAACCATTACAAATCAAACTCCTCTGAATGAGTCTGTTAGTATCTCAACCACTGATCTGCACAGAAATTAGAACACTTTGGTGGAATTCCCCTTTAAGAACCGGTTCAATCCATGCGTTCATGGTTAAAAGGCTGGTTTGTTGAGCTTAAACTGCTACAATACATTTAAGTCAAATGGTACGTTGGAGCTTCATTTCACAGCCTGTGTGGTGTTTGCTCAGAGAGTAACATCACCACCGGACCACTCGGTTCGACCAAAATAGAACCACACAGACGCCTCCATGATCGTGACTACCGTGGCATATGCTAACAGCCTGGATAAGTCAGAGTCAGAGTGTGCATTCACACATGTTTGAAAAATGAATAAAATAAGCTGAATTTTCATGCATTATGCTCCATTAAACGTTTCCGAGAAAAAGGCCCTTCTTAGGTTTCTTCACAGACAATCACGGAATAACCGCACCTCGGTAGAGGGGGTTTCCACACCAGCGTGTGTCCCTGTGCAAACCCTGAGGAGCTCCTTTATTAGAGTTGGACAATATGGACAGAAAAGTAGTATTGTGACTACACTGCTACATATCGACAATGCAATATGTTTTGCAACATGGTGATAAACTGGCCTGCTTTATATGATTATGACCAAATACGTCATGTTTGCTGGACCACATGAGAGTCTTGATGTATCAAAGCACTCACAGAAACTCATCTGGGACGTCCCAGTTCTGCTAAAATAATTTATTGATTTGTTTTACAGCCTTCAGTAAAGATTACGGCCCGTTCCACAGAAAACTTCATCACATAATCTCCTGCAACTATTTGACACGACCACAATTATTTCAGCAGATCATTTCCTATAGATTTCACAATCAAACTGTGTCACAACAAAAAGAACAAGAAAAAAAATCAGACATATGAGTGCAATGGACTTTCACATGTGTGTATATCTTCATTAAAAATGTTGTCAAGTCTAAATGCTTATTAATGTAATTTCAACAAAAGATCAATTAAAAACAAAACTTTCACATGTTGCTTCTGTTTTTTTCACAGTTAAAATGACAATTTGTTCCACTTCATATTTCAATTCATACTTTTTAAAAGCATTTTATGTAGTTTTAATCTCGGTGATTAAAAAAAATAATTTGTGCAACTTTTATAGCACCAGTGCTACATGCTCAAATTATTTTATTCATACAGCTCTGGAGTGCTACAACATGTTTGCATGTCTGTTTCTATGCTTGCAAAGTAGCTATCGCTAGTTTTGTTAGCATGCATGCTTGCAGAAAAAGTGTTATCCCTGATGTTTTCAAGCTGTTAAAAGATATCATCTAGTATTCTCTGCTGATATCGGCACAATAGCAATAGCTAACAACTAGTTGTGGGCAACACGGCGGTATTTTATCGTTATCGTGATTTTATGTTATTATGGACTTTATGGAATTTATGTTAAAATACACTTTTTTAAGCATTCAGACACTTTCACTACAAAAATAGCATAGTTAGGCCTATTTAATTGCATTTAGTTCAGTGCATGTTTGTAAAACATTAAATAAAATAATTAGTCATAATTTATTGTAGTTTTTTTACTAGTATTTATAGTTTGTGTGGCACTACAGGTTCTATTTTGTCTGTTCCAGCTCATTAAATCTTAGAAAACCATGTCATATTGTGTATTGTGTCGTATCGTACATATCGTGAAAATGTATCATGCTATAATATTTTTGCATCAACCACCCCTAATTTTTGCCCTTCCTTTTCTTTGGTGCTTTCAATTCTCAAATTGCTTCTTGAGGTTTATGAAAACTTTATGAAGCATTTTATGAAAGACGTTATATAAATTCATTCTAAGTTCATTACTATTATTATTATTAATAAAATAAGGCACATGTTAGCCAGTCCTTATTTTTGCTGTCCTGAAATGAGACATTAGGGTTGGGCAATATGACAATATATATAGTTATTGTGATATATCAGTCACAATACAATACAGTATGCTTTTCTGAACACATCGTGGATATGGTCAGTACTTGTAGAACACTGACCAACTGCCTGTTTCATTATAAACAGAGCAAAATCAGGCCTGTTTACCTGGATTTAGTGCAACACAGTATCCCAAATGCTAAATAAAATAATTGTATTCAAAGTTTTATATGGTATTTTGTAAAAATGTAGGTTCTTTTTTCTCTGTTCCAGCTGATCAGACGTCTGAAAAAATGAATATCGTGACATTTTGTGTATCGAGAAAAGTATTGCAGTATCACATTTTTGCCATATCGCCCACCTCTACGATACACAACTGTATCGTATCAAATTATACAATGAATTCAGATGCAGCTCCGCATGTGCCTCTGTCAACACCTCAAAGCGAACAACAAAACCTTCCTGGATTTGAATGCACAATCTCGAGCCACATTCCTGTGGTACTCTGTTACACTGCCAGCGCCACCTCAGCTTCCAGGAATGGATTGGACAGCATCTGCCAGACTAAAGAACCCAGAGATACTCTGGGCTTGTTTCATGGACAAGGATTACACCTAATCTTGCACCGAACCACACTGAAATCCCTAACAAGTTTAGGCTTTAGGGTTGGGAACCTGATCCGTTCCAGAAACTTAGAACCCCACCAACCACAAACACAAGCGTGATTTCTCAACCTTCTGCAGACTCAAACGTGCATCCTCGACGGCCTCCAATCGAGGGCGAGGACGCACAAGGCTAGGCCTGAGTAATACATTATCAACAATGGTCTCTTAAGTTTTAAATGAGGAAATGTAACCTGATAACACGGAGCCGTAGATGAGTTAGAAGCAATGTACAACCTCCAAAAGTGTAACTTTACAGGAGAAGGAAAAAACATACTTCACTTATAATGTAAGTCAATGGAAGCAGATGTTTTTCCAAGTCATTTTGGGCTGTTTTTTTGGTCCATTCATTATGAAATTTACACCCTATATAAAGGGCAATGGGTACTTTCAAATTCTGTCAAAAACTGAAAAATGACAAAAATGAAGATACAAGGTTTTGTTCCGACAGTAGCGATATGTATGTATATGTGACATCACAACCACGACCAACTTAGCAGTCTAAGGTACTCAATGTTCAAGCTTCATTCAAGTGTATCTTCTGGTCATCTTGGCTAAAAAACAGGCCTGGAAACTTAAAAGAAAAAATAAACTACACATTTGTATCACAATGCTGGTCAGAAAAACTGCAACTGGATGTTTTGTGGTTGAGCCCTAGATGAGGCCTTGCTGTAACATCCAGCTCACTGCAGATTTCCTCCATGGCTTAAAAGCTGAGATCAACAGGCACGATCTGAGCCATGCAAGCCAACCAGAAAGCAGCTCCAAAGCTCGAGTCAAAGGAGCCACCAGCAATGGAGCCCAGTGGAGAGCCTGGTGAGATGGGAGCAGAGCAAAGCAATGGAAAGCAAAAGCAGAGCAGATCACGTAGTGCCTTGTGGCAAATCCATTCAGCATCTCATTTGCATCGGAGAAAGGAGAGAGCTCGAGTTGGAGCAGCTCGCTGCGCAGCCTTATGGGCATCATGTGCATAAAGTCCATAAAGGCTGCAGCCTTTATGGACTTTATGCACATGATGCCCATAAGGCTGCTCCTCTGCGTCAACGTTTTGCCAAATCTTTAAAGCCTAAGCACCGTGAGGAAGAGGAGGAGGGGGGTGGAGGAGGGGGGATGCTCACCCCCGGTCCCCCTAGTCAGCACCGTTTCTTTTGTTGAGGGAGAGAAAACGTCCCCTTGTGCCGGACAGCCACTTCTAACCACATAATCGATCATTTCTGATCGCCGATATTTCACTTACCCGAGGGGTTGACGGCGGCTGGTGTTGCCATGCTCTCCTTTTTCTGCCCTCGAATGGAAAAAACAACAACAACAACAACAAAAAACAAAAACACCACCGAACGCTAATGACGCACGCAGCGGTCAGTTCAAAGCCAGACGCTCCAGCCGCCCATTCGCTCGCGCCGCGCTACGGTAACCGAGTCCTGCAGAGGTGCAGAGGAGCGGATGTTTATTTGCGGGCTCCGTTCGGCTCGTCCTGCCGCCTGGTAGCCGCTTCTGCTCGTAAGCCTCAACGAGCGCAAGATGTCTGAAAGGCGGCGGAAACAACGCGAGACTTCAGGCTGAATTCATTACTGCAGCCCCAAACCAAAGCAGAGAGGGCGAGAGTCAGTCAGCCCGGACCCAGTGACGTGCACGCTGGCATGTCTTTGCATTCTGACCCACATTCGGACCAAATCAGGGGCGAATTAGTGACTCGGTTTTGATTGAATAAGTCTAAAATAGCATGGAGAAAATGTGAAAGCAAAATGTGCAATAAAATTTGAGGTTGTGTGGAAAAATATGCACAATAAATTTCAAAAATTTTAATTCGTGTTTTTTTAGTTCTATAGATAAAATATATGCAATAAAATTTCTAAAAAACTACAGGTTTAAAAATTTGTACTGACATTTTTTTTAAAACTGTACGTTTTTAAAGTTCTATAGATTAAAGAAATATGAAATAAAATTTCTAAAATCTACTTAAAGGTGCAAGAAATGAATATGATTATTTGCAATGTGCAATAAAATTGCAAATTTTGCAGGTAAGATTTCTAAAACTGCTTCTAAAAACGTTCAAAAAACATTCTGCAACTAAATATCAGATTCAGTTTCTTTAATTGTGCAACAAAATCTAAGATTCTACATTTATAAATGGTGAAATACATTTTGAAATAGTATTTGCTTTTTTTAATGTTTGATAAAATAACCGAGTTGATTTTTTTAAAAGTTCTGTAGATTAAAGAAATGTGCAATAACATTTCTAAACCTACAGATTTAAAAAAGAGTAAATTGTCATTTCGAAGTCATATATACTTTTTAATACATCTTTTAAAGTGTCTACAAATACACATAAAACACATACAAAAATATGGAATAAAATTTTGAAATTTACCGGTTTAAAGGAATTTACTGTACATTTTTAAATCTATATATTTTAGAAATTTTATTGAAAATTGAGTGTTGTTATTTTTTTAAGTTCTACAGATTAAAAAAGTGCAATAAAGTGACTAAAATCTGCAAGTTTAAAAAAATGTACATTACAATTTCGAAGTAATTTTTTTAAATATGCTACCTTTACAAAATATCTACAGATACACATAAACACATAAAATTTCAGATTTTCAAGATGCTTTTTTAAATATGCAAAAATATACAGATACAGATAATAAGTGTGCAATACATTTCTAAAAACAGTACAACAAGTAAAATGTTTATTTAACTGTTTGCTTAAATGTGCAAAAAATGTATATATATATATATATATATATATATATATATATATATATATATATATATAGTGCAATAAGATTGCATATTCTACAGATGAAATTTCTAAAACATTCTAAAAAAAACATTCAAAAATTATTCTGCAATAAAATTTCACATTTTTTTTTCAGTTTCTTTAATTGAGCAACAAAATCTAAGATTCTGAATTTTTAAATGGTGAAGTACATTTTGAAATAGTATTTGTTTTTTTTTAATGTATGATAAAATGCCAAAATGTTTTTTAATGTAAGACGTCCAATTGTACATTTTTAACCCCAAGCAGAAAAGTTTATAAATTGGTACAATAAAATCTCAACTGTCAAATAAAGTAAACTGATTATGTCCTGAATAAATAGGATAAAGTCACACAATATACAGAGTATATGGCAATTTTATCATGTTGAAAGTGTGAACTGTTTGCAATATATGATGTCAGTGAATAACACTGTAACCAACCTACACTAGAAAAGTGCAGAGCTTTAAACGTCACTTTAGGCTCTTCAGTGACTTCGATCCTCTTTCATAAGACAGAATTTGGCCCTCATGTATAGAATGTGACAGGTATTAGAAGGCCAAGGACATCTGATCCAAGACTATTTAAGCTCTTTTTCCACAGGGCTTTCCTCATTAATCTGTTCCTGTAAACCAGTCAAATGTATTCCATGAATAGACCCTTATTGAGGTCATTATTCTAAAGAATCTGCAGGCTTTGGGTCTGTTTTCAGTTCCTTGCAGCAAGTTTAACAGAGCATCTGCATAATTTCTTTTCTTGCCACATCACAGAAAAGGGGAAAAGAGGTTCTGCTGATGAAAAAGCTCAGACCATTGAATTCAAATGGCATAAATGTTTGTCTGACCAAACTATCTACCACAACTGTTCAGGAAAGAGCAAACGCTGTATACTTATTACAGTTTACAGCGTTTTTCCAGACTTGTGGTCAGCTCCGTTTAAATTAAAACAACACAGGGAAATTCACAGGCTGCAGCTTTCCTCTACACTCCCAGCTGAACTTAACAGTGTTTTAACTGAGATTTTAATGTTATTTTATGGTGTAAGTGGCATTTTTTGCATTTTGCCTGGCAGTGAAAATCATAACTGACCCACTTGATTGTTGTATGACCACTATGTTATTTCATATCCAAGTTGTGTATCTGCTCTGGTATCTTGCTATGGTATTCCAAGTGGTCGCTAGTTGGTTTCAATTACATTCTGGACGTTGCTAGATTGTTGCTAAGCAGTTGCTATGGTATTGTATGTGGTTACTAAAGTATTGCTGATGGTTGCTATGGTATCTTAGGTGGTTGCTAGGGTGTTGCTAAGTATTTCATATGTTACTACCATGGTTGCTATGGTATTGGAAGTAGTCTATGGTGTTGTCAAGTGGTTGTTATAGTATCTCTGCTGGAAGCTAGGGGGTTTCTATGGTGTGAAATGTGGTTGCTAGGCTATTGGAAGGTGGTTACTATGGTGTAACTCATGGTTCCAAGGTGGTTGCTATTGTATCCCAGATGGTTCCAAGGGTGTTGCAAAGTATTTCATATGTTATACAGATGGGTGCTTTGGTGTTGGAGGTTGTCTGTAGTGTTGTTAGGTGGTTGCTATGGTATCTCTACTGGATGCTAGGGGGTTTCTATGGTGTGAAATGTGGTTGCTAGGCTATTGGAAGGTGGTTACTATGGTATAACTCATGGTTCCAAGGTGGTTGCTATGGTATCCCAGGTGATTACAAGAGTTTTGCTAAGTATTTCATATGTTGCTACAGGTGGTTGCTATGGCATTGGAGGTGACCACTATGGTATTGGAGGTTGTCTGTGGTGTTGTTAGGTGGTTGCTATGGTATCTCTACTGGATGCTAGGGGGTTTCTATGGTGTGAAATGTGGTTGCCAGGCTATTGGAAAGTGAGTACTATGGTATAACTCATGGTTCCAAGGTGGTTGCTATGTTATCCCAGGTGGTTGCTAGGGTGTTGCTAAGTATTTCATATGTTGTTACAGGTGGTTGCCATGGTATTGGAGGTCACTGCTATGGTATTGGATGTGGTCTATGGTGTTGTTAGGCGGTTGCTATGGTATCTCTACTGCATGCTTGGGGTTTCTATGTGAAATGTGGTTGCCAGGCTATTGAAAGGTGGTTACTATGGTATAACTCATTGTTTCAAGGTGGTGGCTATGGTATCCCAGGCGGTTGCTAGGGTTTTGCTAGTGTACTTTTATCGTGGTGACATAAGAAGGGTGTACAAATGACTAGTGGTATATAAAAAGATTCCACCATTCATTTCCTTTATAGTTTACTGACTTTGAATGGTTGCTACACATAAGCCGTATGTTCCATCAAATAGCTGTACCCAAACACACTCAGATGGAACATTCTGGAGTTGGTTCTGTGTTGATACTTCAAAAACTGAGACTAATTATTGAGAAACAACACTAACCAGTGCACCGTAACTGTATAAACTGCATTGTAACATACAGCTGTTTGGAGGGTAGCTCTTTATGACATCATCTTTTATGTTTACCAGTTTACTTCTGTTCCTTTAAGAATAGTAAACAAAAAAAAGTTATCCTATTTTAAACATGGCACTGCTGCATTTTGTTCACAAATTTCAGAAACTAAATTTTTATCATGAAGATTTACTTCTGCCACATCGTCCACCTTCAGAATAAACATGTTCTGTATTTAGACCTCCTGTGTCCAGCCCTGCTGTTTCATTGCATGCAATAAAATCCACAATGTTGAGTTAATTCCTACGTAGCTAATTCGAACAAGCTTAATGGGATGTAACTCCGGAGGAGAAACTTTGTCTGTATTGCAGAGTTAATTTAACACCAGTGGTTTTAGTGCGTATAGCTGGGCCTTGCTGCAGTGTTAATGGCACACATTAGTTCCTTTGGTTTAGCCTAGCGGGATGAGGTAGTAGCCTTTATTAGCTCTTATACAGTCGGTGTTTTGAAAGCTGTAGCACACCACAGCTCCTGCCCCATTAGATTATACGCACCCCATTAGTCCAAAAGCCACTCTTCGCAGAACGCGGCTAATACACCCACTTAATAAAGATGATAAGACGCACAAGACCAGTATTTATTTAGCTTCCGGACTGCTAATGCAGTAATGTTACTTTTGAGCTGATTTATGGAAGACTGCAAAAGCTGTTTGCACCTGAAGACAGAGTGAAGTAATTTGTGTACACTGCTGATGAGCCAGCATAAAGGGCGTTTGAATCATCAGGCCTACACTGGAACACATTCATTTGTTTTAGGCAGCTACTCTGGGACTGGTGAGGTAATGCAGTCGCACTTCCACACCCTCATGGATCAAAGTGATTCCAAGAAATGCTTGACAGGAAAATGCCACATGCTGCTAACAATGATTGAAAGCCAGTCAGGGCATGTTAGCATTATGCAAATACATTCGAGCTACTTGGTTTGTGCTAATCTCTGTTAATTGTTAGCCATGTTAGCACTCAGGGGGAAGTACTTCATTAACACATCAATTTCCTTTGCAAACGAGCTCAAGCTGGTTCTCAAAAATCTGCATTAGCTGTAAAACCATATAGGCCAAAGATGTACTTTTTGATTTGCCATAATATCCAAATGCAATTATATCAAGTAATTACCTAACACAGTTAGACATTTTCATTCAATTTACATTCTGTATCAACAGATTTGACTATTCCAACTTTTCTCTTTGTTCTAATATAAAAAAAAATGACAAACATATGATAAAAAAGTAAAGAATGGTTGTTTTTTTCCCTTAGAACAATCCT